GTGAAGAAGTTGAGAAGACAACCCGTGGGGGGAAAACATATTGGCAATCCATATGTCTTAATAAAGATCTCATATCCAGAACGTACTTTCTAAGACTCCTCTATAAATGATGAAATGATGACAGCCAAATGCAATGATCAGGCCCTTCCCACCTAAGGCTCTCTACATGGCCAACGGGCACAAGGAACATGCAAACTGAGGCTTCCATAAAGCACGCCAGGGTGGCTAAAATGAAAAAGACCGACAGTATCAAGTGTTGACAAGGCTGTGGAGCAAACGGCACCCGTGGACCTTGGTAGCAGGGGTGTGAAATGAGCCGGCTGCGTTGGACTGCTGCTTGGCAGGATCTACTAAAGTTAAATCGAGGCCTACCTTGTCCCAGAAAATCCACTCCTAGGATCACACCAGCAGAAAGTTCCCTACGATAGCCCTCAAACCACATCTGCAAGAATTTAGAACGTTAGTTCCAGTCTGTCCCAATTTTGAAAGAGTACAAATGTCTAACACTAGGAGACTTGAAAAACAAGCTGAGTCTATTTATATACCGGGATACGACATCATTAAGATGAAGCTGCGAAGGCCTGGGACGGATGGCTCCACGCGCATACTGCACGAAAGAAGACAGACACAAGACTTGTGGGCTTCCTCTCCCACACTTTGACATGTTGTCTAGGGGGGACCAGTCCCCAGAGAAGGACAGCCAGTGTTGGTCAAGCTGAGGGGCATTGGAAAAGGGGAAGGCCCCCGACAAGATGGATGGGCACAGTGGCTGCCACCATGGGCTCAGAGAGAAGAACAGTGGTGAGGACCAGGGCAGTGTTTCCTCTGTTGTCCCAGGGGTCACTGGCGAGGATGCCGAGGGACCGGGTGGCTTCGTTCCGATTTACATAGTCTTTACGAGTCAGAAACAGACCCATGGCCCCTAACACCAGCAACAAACACATATTTCGAAGCAGCGTGTTGGTGGTCTTGTGAAATGCTGTCCTGCCATCCAGGGTCGTTTTTTATGACCAAGGGGATATTATTTCCAACGACTGATTCTTCTTCATTTCCAACTTTTGAATTCCACTCCCGAGTCGCCAATGCATCTCTATTGTATGTTTGACCCATTTCGGACCACCAGCGGGTAAGGAGCTTCACTTCTTTCACCGGTGACATGAGTGGCCGGCGTGTCCACGGGAATGACCGTCCTGTTGACCCCTCTTCCTTGTTGGCTCACCAGAGTCTCCTGCCGCTCACAGCACTGTGCAGACGCACTGCGGGCTTCATCGAGAAATGTTCTTGTCTTCACAATGGAGACGCTGCCGTTCCTCACAGCAGGACCGTAGGCTGACCGCCTTCAAAACGGCCAGCGCTGGCCTGTGTGGTCTCCCCCCGCTTCGTTTCCCTGCAGCCACACTGGGTGCACATCACATCCAGATGCTTCATGGAGGTCTGTGTCAGTTCCTTCTCGTTTGCCAACTTGCCACATGAGCCAGTGAAGGCCTTGAACGGTTTAGTCCACCCAGTTCCTTAAGGTCAACTCTGCTCTGAGGAGGCAGCTCTTCCCGCCTCCGAGTTTGAGCACCTTCCAACCCCAGGGCCCCATCTTCTACCCCCATTCCAGACGGTGTGACCCCCAAGGTTTCCACCGCCGTGATGGTCAGAAGTGGACCTCCAGGTCCTCCTTTCTAGTCCTGTCCACCTCGGGTGACCCTGCTGGTGACACGCTGATGGCCAAGCTTCCTGCATTGCAGCAACATGCAAGCCACCGCTGCAGGCCGCATTGAGAGCCACGTGGAGGAGTGGAGACTGAGGGGCGAGAACTCAGAACCTGTGGAGCCGAGAGGAGACCCAGAGAGGTCAGCTCCACAGGGGGCCACACCTGGCTTTTGATAGTAGCTCTTTCTCCTCCTCCTCTTTATCTCCTCTGCCCTCCCCCTTCCTTGTCACTCCCACCATGAGCCCCTTGCTCCATCTGAGGGAGGGGTGGGGGGACCACCATCAACCTGAAGCTTCCTGACTTAGGCCCGAGGACAAGGTCAGGGGTAGGCAGAGGGAGAGGAGGAGCGTTGGGAAGCTCTCTTCCCTCCACTCTGTGCCTTCTTCCTCTTGTTCTCTAAGAGTTTGCCTTTCCTAGAAAACCAGAAATCAGAGTGCGGGCTGAGCTCTCACTGGGCTGCTTAGGAACCCGCCAGACTTGTTTGAGCTCCACATAAGGAGGCCAGAGCTAGGCAGGAGCCAGGGTGGCTGCCAGTGCCTGCCCAAGGCAGCCCTGCCCCCGGAGAGCAGACCTGTCCGCCCTGCAGAGACCCGGGTCTGCCAGGATGCACGAGTGGTCTGGTGTAGGGCCGGAGGGTGAGGTGGGGGGCGGCTCCGCTGTAAGGCTCCCAGCAGTCTGATAGCACCCACCCGTCCCAGGGAGTCCTGGTGGGGGTTGAGGCAGTGAGGATGGGCCACAGGTATGGGAGTGGCCCATCTGGTCCCATTGGCCTACAGAAATAGATGCAGAGGGGTCTCTAGGGGGTGAGTGGTTACTCATTGGGCTGCTAACTGCGAGGTCAACAGTGTACAGCCTCCAGCCACCCCAAAGGGGAAAGATAGGGCTGTCTCCTCCTGTGAACAGAAACAGACAGGGCAGTTCCACCCTGTCCTAGAGGGTCGAGATGAGTCGGCACCGACCTCGTGGCTGTGGGTCTGCTCTTCTCTAGGCGGTTGGACTTCTAGTTCCATGAGTCTAATTGTTGGCTCTCTTGGTGCTTCCACATCACGGCTTACTTGCAGCCTCTTCTCTCTGCCCTCTAGCCCCCTACCCATCTGGTCCTCATCTGTGGCCCTAGCTGCCCCAGAGCTGAGTGCCACACCCTCAGCCTCCAGGCCTCTCCATTCAGTTCTCCGAAGACCAGCCAGTGGGCTCTCCTGCGGCCTTCTCTGGTCCCTTTCCTGGGTTGGGCCAAGCTTCTGGAAGTCAGATGAGAAACTGGGAGGAGCGGGCACCTTGGTGGATGCACCACTGGTCATCTTGAGTCCTGTACTGGAGTCACCTTCCTAGACGGACTGGCACTGGGGCTGGCCACCCTGCAGCTGGGTTGGGCCAAGCTTCTGGAAGTCAGATGAGAAACTGGGAGGAGCGGGCACCTTGGTGGATGCACCACTGGTCATCTTGAGTCCTGTACTGGAGTCACCTTCCTAGACGGACTGGCACTGGGGCTGGCCACCCTGCAGCTGGGTTGGGCCAAGCTTCTGGAAGTCAGATGAGAAACTGGGAGGAGCGGGCACCTTGGTGGATGCACCACTGGTCATCTTGAGTCCTGTACTGGAGTCACCTTCCTAGACGGACTGGGGCTGGCCACCCTGCAGCTGGTGTCACGGCTCCACAGCCGCCTTCGTTCCCTCCTGCCCAGAGCCTTTGCACGGGCTGTTCCCTCTACCTGGAACCCGCTCGCGATGGGTGCTGCCCACAGCGTCCCACCTCAGTTCTGCACGGCCTTCTTGGGCCTTCACACCCTCTCCCTCCCATACTTTTAAGAAACCACTAAGTCAGTGAATGGTTTTCCCCCAGGACCCCGTGGGCAGGCATCTGGCTGGCTTTTGTCCCCTACCCTTCCCCTTCCCCTACCTGTCTTAGTGCCCTGCATAGGACCTGGCACACAGAAGACCCTTGGAGAAATGGGGAACACTTGAAGACTACCAGGAAGCCCAGAAGACACCCGGATAGCACAGTGGTTACAAGGGGGCCACTAAGTGAAACCTTGGGCTGCCGGTCACAGCCACTACTTGGTAGGACTTTGGTAACTCTGCATCCCGGGTAAAGCAGCCTAGGCTTGGCCCGCGGCCCTGGCTGCTCTGTGAGGTGTCTCTCGCTTTGTCTCTGGGTCCTGACATGAAGAAGGACCAGCCAGGGTTATCTGTTCTCCTTAGGAAAGGCAGGACCCTGTCCCAGGGGTATTCTGAAATTGGAAGGCGCCGGAGGGAGGGCCCCCTTTTCAGAGCCATATGCTGCAATCCGCATGGCCCACAGTTTGAAACCACAAGCAACGGAAGCCGGGGCTTCGCCGCCGCAGTCTCAGAAACCCACAGAGGGGCCGCCAGGAGTCAGCGATGCCTGGGGGGCAGTGCGTGGCTGTGGTTGGTGGTTTCCTGAGGCAGGGCTACAGGTTGGGCTGCTGACCACAAGGCCCCAAGTTTGAAGCCACCAGCTGCTCCCCAGGAGAAAGACGGGGTTCTACTCCTGCAAAGAGTCACCATCTCAGAAACCCACAGGGACAGTTCCACCCTGTCCTGCAGGGTCGCTACAAGTCAGCAGCGACCTGAAGGCAGTGAGTTTGACTTTGGAAGCGTCCCAGACAACCAGCTCCAAACTGCCCGGGCCCTCTGACCAGCGCCTGTGACCAGTGCAGCCTCCATGGCTACCTGGGTCTGCCCGAGCCATCTGGGTCTTTGACTCCCCTCAGGGGTCTCCATGGCCTGACCAGGCTGAGCGGTGCCAAAGGTTGGCTGCCGATGGTTGGTTTCCCTGGGACCTGTCTCGTCAGCCGGCCAAACTGGCTCCCCCGGAATTCTCAGAGGCCCTAGCTGTGGCCCGGGAGGTGACAGGCAGCAGGCCCAGGCAGCTGTTGTCGGCCTGCACATCCCCAGGGAGCTGGGTGCAGGGACACGGGCTCTATCCCCACTGCTGCTCTGCCAGCTGGGTCTCGTTAAGGCGAATGAGGCCAGGGAGATGCCTGAATCTGGTCATTTCATTTTCCACTTGGCGTCCGTCAGCTGGGGGCTTCAGACAGTGGGCCCACGTCAATCACGGAGGGGCGGGGGCCAGGGGGTAGGCAAGGGCTGCTGTTAAGAGAAACGCCGAATTCCTTCCACCCTGGTGGAGCTGAGTCTGGAGGCAGAATCCCTCTGGCCCTGGCTCAAGAATGGCCATTCCAGGGAGGACACCAGGGGCCTGGAGCCCGCTGGGCAGGGCCACTCCTGGGGAGCCTCTCCTGACCTCAGGAGAACATGGCCCCTGCAGGACAGCCAAGGCTGGTGGGGAGGCCCCACCCAGTGTCTTTGACATTGGCTGGCCACCCTGGGGGTGGAGGTGTGGGGTGTGGGAAGGACAGGGATTCTGTTCCTTCTCACAGCCAGGAAGTGGCTGTGGTGGGGTGTGTGTGTCTGGGGGGGTGGGGGTGGGGGAGGACTGACTGTATCCTCAACTGGGACACTGAGTCTGAGAGCAATGAACTGTCCCCATAGAATTCCAGGCCTCCGTGGTGGTTACAGCGTCGGGCGGGGCTCGGTGGGGACGCCACAGTGGTCACAGTTGGTTAGTTGGAATTCTGTTCTCACTGTGAGTGGCGCCTGGCAGCCTGGCTGAGGATCTGCCGTGTGTGTCTGTGGTCACTCTCGGTCTCTCACACAGAGGTGGACAAAGGTCCTGCCGGAGAGAGCCTCTCAGGTGGAGGGGCGCTTAAGGCGGCTGCAGAGCTGAGGGCCTGAGTCTGTCCATGGGCAACCCCTCCCCACCACCCCACCAGCCCCTCCTCTCTGTGTGACTCTGGGCAGGTGGTTGTGACGGGACTTCCATATTTGTAGAAAATAGAGATGACCTCACATGGCGCTGACCTCACAGTGATGCTCCTTGAGCCCGCCCCCCCTTGCCCCCATGCCGTCCCCACCCTCCCTGAGTTTACATCCAGGGGCGCAAACATCACGGCAGCTGGGGAGCCTTGGACTCCCGAGTGGACCGGTGAGGAAGGAGTGACCCGTGACCACGCAGGTCACGGCCAGGTGGTCCCAGTGGGAATGTTGTTGTGTGAGGTGCCAGCGAGTCCGTTCTGACCCATGGTGACCCTGTGCACAGCAGAGCACACCGCCGCCCGGGCCTGCGCCATCCTCAGAACCGGTCCTATGCCCAAGTCCGAGGCTGCAGCCAGTGTGTCCATTATCTCCCGGAGTGCCTTCCTCTCACTTTCCCAAACACGAGCCGCTCTCCAGGGATCCAGAGCATGTACGACAAAGTCTCCCCATCGCTCTGGCTATCCTTCTGTCAAGAGAGATCGGTTTGTGCTTTCAGCCGACCACGCACGGTCAGTATTCTTCTCCAGCACCGCAATTCAAACGCGGCCATCCTCTTTGGGGCTTCCTTATTCAGTGTCCAACGTTCACATGCATACGAGGTGACTGAAAACACCCTGGCTTGGGGCAGGTGCACCTGAGTTCTCAAAAGAGCAGCCTGGCTTTCCAATACTCGACAGCGGTCTCGTGCTTCAGATTTCCCTAACGCAACACGTCTTCCAATCTCTTGCCTCCTGCTTCTCGGAGCACTGATGGTGGGTCCAAGAAAGAGCAAATCCTTGACAGCGTCCACCTTTTCTCCATTTACCGGGTGTTACCTCCTGATCCAGGCGTGAGAATGTGGCTTTTCCTCCCATTGAGCTGTCATTCCGACTGAAGATTGCAGCCCTTGACCTTCATTACCAGGTGCTTCAAGGGTTCCCCTTGTCAGTCAGTGTGTCAGACTGTGGCGGCCTGGGCATTGCTCTGACCCTGGAAGCTATGTCCCTGGGGTTTCAAATGTCAGAGGGGTCACCCAAACGGACCCAATTTCAGCGGCACTTCCAGACTAAGAACAAACAACGAAGAAGGATTCGGCTC